AACTTACCCACAAGAAAATTTGGTGGGCTCGTACGTGGGTACCACGTTTACCTAAGGGCTGGAAATAAGCTCATTAATACCCACTTGGACGGGGAGCACCCCCTCAAGATTTCAGCTTTGTAGCTTCTCAGACTTCGTGTTACGAACTTACCCGTAAAAGACTTTGGCGGGCTCGTAAGTTGGTACCACGCAGGTAAGAGCGTCCATTTTGGGGAATGAGGCCCGTACGAGCATGTAGATTAAGTTCCCAAATTTTCAGCCCTGTAGCTTTTCTAGGTCTTGAGATCAAAAATCGGTACAGACGCACACACAGATACACGGGCACACTGACAACTTCTCGTTAATATGGGTTTTCTGCATCGCATAATTGCAAAAAACGCATAAAAATATATTACGGAGGCCAATAAAATGAGCCTAAACATATTCCAATCGTGCAAATCAAGAAAAAAAAAACGGTGGGCGAATAATTCACCTTTAAAATAAGCCATCGCTTGGACCACCTCAAACAATGGCGCACACAGAATTGCTTCCAACCGATGAAAACTCGTGCACCACCCGGACGTTTTTTAACGAAGCTTTCGCAGTATTTTCCGCCCAGTTCATTGATAAATGAAAAGCGTGATACTTCCAGGAATTCTGCCTGTCCAACGTGTACAAATTAATTTCAAAAAAGCTCAAATTCAATTTCTTTTCTTTTCAAGTGCTTATAATGCTCGAAAAAATTTCAGCCATCAACAGTGAATAATCTTCCCATTGCCTGCATCTTGAAGAACTGGTGTTACAATGCTATTCCTAATAAAAAAAAAATGAATTCTTATTTTGACCAAATTAGCATGCTACGTCACAAATAGCATTAGCAGCGTAACAAAAACGTCAAAAAATGCAGCAGCTACGGCCAGAGCAGGCGAGGGGTTTCGATGACGAAGCTGAACTGTGTTGATCACTATGAAATTCAGCAAATATTCAATGGAAAATCAAACATACTGTTTCATGATGATTCCTATTGACAGGTATATGCAGCACTGCTTGCAGCCACTTTTCCAATCGTTCCTAGAAACGGCGGATTTTACAAAAAGTATAAAAATTAACAGAAAATTATGAAAAACAAGAAAAAGAACTAAAATGTCTCTTACGATCACCAGAATTCCGTTCATAAAAAAGATAAAATTTTTGAGGCAAGTACCCTCCGTTCATTTGGATCACTGACAGCGTCCGGTACAAAGCCAAGTGATGGGAGTTGGTGCCGTTTCATTTCGCTGAGTCGTCTACGCCTTCGTTCCAAAATCTCTTCGGCCGATGGCGGTGATACTGTAAGTACAGAACACTTCAGGAACCTTATCAACGAATTGCAGATGCACAAAAATCTACTGGGAGGTCTACGAAGTCAGCCCGAGTTCAACGAACCATCAGAAGAGG